AAAGCTGCCCCGCTCCGCCAGCACCTTGGCCTCCCGCTGTCCCCGCGGGGCTGGCCAGCCCGCACCGAGCCGGGGCCGGGCGCACACCGGCGGAGCGCGGAAAGAAGAGCGCGGAGGCAGGCGCAGAGGCCCGGCCCCGCCCAGCGCGCACTCCCAGACACGCGCGCCCCTCACCTGTCGCCAGCCAACCACACCCTGCCGCCGAGCAGGAAGCGGGCCGCGCACCGCTTCCGCCCTTAGTTCGACGTCACTTCCGCCCAATTAGGGCGTTCCCTGAATGCTAAAGCACGTTTAGCTCCCCTCCCCGCCCGGTGAGGGGCGGAGCTGCGCGTGCGCGAGTTTGAGAGCGGGGCGCCACACCTGAGGCGCCCCCCGGCGGCGGGGCGGCCATCTTGTGAGGCAGGAGCCGCCTGCCCGGTGCGTTGGCGGGGCACTGTGGTAAATGGCCTTGAATTGTGTGCCCTGCCTGAGCCCCTGCTGGCACTGCCGCCCTCCTTAGAGTTAGAGAATCATCTGGGTTTACTGTTACCCCAGGGCTGCCAAGTCCACCACTAAACCATGTCACTGCTTCATCTACACTGTTTCTGAGCACCCCCAGGGACGATGATTCCAGCACTGCCCTGGGCAGCCTGCGCCAATTCCTGAGCACCTCTCTGTGAAGAACTTGTTCCCAATATCCACTCTAAACTACCCCTGGTGCAGCTTGAGGCTGTTTCCTCTTGTCCTGTCACTTATGTGGAAGAAGAGACCATTGCCCACCTCTCTCCATCCTCCTTTTAGGTAGTTGGAGAGAGTGATAAGGTCCCCCCTGAGCCTCCTCCACACCAAACACCCCACTTCCCTCAGCCGCTTCTCATCACACTTGTGTTACAGACCCTTCACCAGCTCCACTGCCCTTCTCTGGACCTGCTCCAGCACCTCAATCTCTGGGAGAGGCCCAGAACTGAACACAGGATTCGAGGTGCAGCCTCACCAGTGCCCAGTACTGGAGGACAATCACATCCCTGGCCCTGCTGGCCACACTATTTCTTATGCAGGCCAGGCCTTCTTGGCTGCCTGGGCCCAAGCTGCTCATGTTCAGCTCTGTCAGTCAGCACCCCTAGGTCCTTTTCCACCAAGCAGCTTTCCAGACACTCTTGCCCAAGCCTGGAGCATTGCATGGGGCTGTTGTGGCCCAGCCTCTGTGCTGGCCTGAGTGGCAGGGAGTGGGCAGGAGGATACAGTCATCTGCCTGCCCCACAACAGGGCACAGGCAGCACAGGGACCCCACTGAGGCTCCTCAGAGCGCTGCTGGTTGCCTTGGTGAGGAAGCGATGTCACTCCAGCATGCCTTCAAAAAGGGGCCCTCACCAGGGCTCCTGGTTCTTCGAGCAGGACCCCACTGCAAAGAGAAGGTGGTGCTGGCACAGCACTCATTCTGGTCCCTGCCACGTGCTGCAGAGTCATGGATTTAGGGAAAACCCCACAGATGTTTTTTAGTTGCCACATTCAGCCCTGCTTTGGCACCTGGCTGCTTTTCTGCTGCCATGTACAGAGCATGGCAAGCAAAAGGGGAATCTCTGACTCATACACTTGTTTTCTCTCCAGTGCTCATGTTTAGAGTTGGGCAATTTAAAAATTGAAGTTGTAAAATAGTGGATATTTTTAAGTACACTCTACTTGTTTGTTCTTGTGTCGTTTTTATACTCTCCTTCATGCACGCATTCAGGCAACCAGGTTCTTCCAGCACAAATGCTTATGAAAAGTGAATTTGAAGAGTGCATCTGTAAATACAAAACTCCACATTTTAAAAGGTTATGTGCTACACATGACGGGGTATTTGCATGCTCATCCATTTCAGGATCAGAAACAATTTCTCAAGATTTAGGTAAACAGTTACAACTTAACACTATTTGAATAGCAAATACCAGTTTTTGAATGCACACAGGGAACATTTGTAATTGACATGTAGCATTAAAAACAGTACACAAGGAAAACAATGAGGCAAGCCTCTTCAAGCAGTGAATGCACTTGAACACATCAGGACCCACTCATGCATATTCAATTAGGGGGAAGAAAGGTAAATCCATTACAGAAATTGCCTGTGCAGATTCTTTGCTTGGCTCCACTTCTCTGCAGTGGGAAGCAGAGGTGGGTGATGAGAAGCTCAACATGACCCAGCAGTGTGTGCTCGCAGCCCAGAAACCAACCATGTGCTGGGCTGTATCAAAAGGAGCGTGAGCAGCAGGTCAAGGGAGGTGATCCTGCCCCTCTACTCTGCTCTCTTGAGACCCCATCTGCAATACTGTGTTCAGCTCTTGGGGCCCCCAACACAAAGGGACATGGACCTGCTCAAGCAAGTCCAGAGGAGGCCACAAAGACGCTCAGAGGACTGGAGCACCTCTCTTATGGAGACACACTGAGAGTTGGGCTTGTTCAGCCTGGAGAAGGGAAGGCTTTGGGGAGACATTTGAGCAGCTTCCAGTACCTAAAGGGGGCCTACAGGAAAGCTACAGAGGAGCTTTTTACAAGAGCATGTAGTGACAGGACAAGGGGGGATGGCTTTAAAGTGACAGAGAGTAGATTTAGATTATGTATTAGGAAGAAATTCTTCCCTGTGAGAGTGGTGAGGCACAGGCACAGGTTGCCTGGAGAAGCTGTGGCTGCCCCATCCCTGGCAGTGTTCAAGGCCAGGTTGGATGCAGCTTGGAGCAACTTGGTCCAGTGGAAGGTGTCCCTGCCCATGGCAGGTGCTGGAACTAGGTGGCTTTTGAGGTCCCTTCCAATCCAAACCATCCTATGATTCTATACGGCCTGAAGCAGGGGAGTGATGTTAGACCTGGCGGAGCTGCACAGGAGATCAGGAGCCAGCAGCAGCAGCAGCTTCCCCGTTTCAGAGCCTGCAGGAGGGTGCTTTCCTCTGTGATGTTTTAATGATAGGTCTGGTCAGACCCATCAGTATGGAGAGCATAAAGGCACTAGGCCTAAGAGCTAAGGACCAGGGTAAGAGCTACTGAAATCCTCCAATAAAGAAAGAAGGTTATAAGGAATGAAAAATCATGCCAAAAACTCAAAGCAGACAAAAAAAACAGATCTAGCCGAATCTGAGCAAGGAGCCTGTGTGTGGGTGTCAGGACCTGTCAAAAACAAAATAGGGAAGCGGATGTAAGAAGCAACAATCCAATCTATTCTGATTCACTTTTATTTATATACCACTGACAGAAAGCCCTCCAAATGCTTGCTGCTGCTTGGGTAAGAATCCAATTTAAAGCCTTTATCAAATTCACAGAAAGCAAGAAGTGATGGCAGACTGACACAGCCGCTTCCTGTGTTCCCCTCCCAGCCACCCTGAGGAAGAAGAGCCAGCAGTTTTTGGATAATCCACCATTAAAAGGCAAAAAGAGAGCTAACATGGAGAAAGGGGAAGCAGTGAACCTCAAGCCAGGCAGGCAGAGAGGTGATGGAGCAGCAGGTGTACAGCGAGCTGCACATGAGAAGTGATACAGTAGCACTGGATTGGAGAAAGCACCCTGGTAGTGGGTAAGAGGCTGTAAATCACAGCAACTTTTGTCATACATCAAATGTCTTTCCTGTGAAGGCAAGACCTATCTATCCAGGCACAAGTGGTTGCGAACAACAGTGCAGAAAGGGTCTGAAGGCAAATCAGCAGAGCAGCTGCTGAGTACAGTGTTCAGTTCAACCACAGAAGCACTAGACTCTGGCTGGTTGCATGGCGGCACATGCTACTGGCTAGTGGAGACCAGGCAGAAAGAAATGGATACCATCTCTTCTATCTCCAGAACGAAGTTCACTGGATACATTTCATAACCTCTCACTGGCTCATTTTCAGTGGTCATGAGGACAGGATTCTTCTGCTTAAGCAGGGCTGTGCTCAAGGGAGCCCACTGGCACCTCTGGCAACCAAGCTCGCCCTGCTACTGCTTTGTACTGGCAAGTCCCAGCCAACAATAACAAAATCACACAGAGTATGTTTCTCCCTTAACGAAAGGATCACTAATCCCCACTGTTGCCCAGGTACAGGAAGGTTGATACAGAGGCCAGTCAGGAAGACAAGATTTTCCATAGGGTGCAAAAAGCAGTGCCTTGTGGTGTGCCAGGTCATGCATGACAGCATAGCAGAGGCTTTGCAGTTAGGAAACGTGCTAACTACTGGTTTGGAAAATGCCCCCTGGCTTTCCTAGAGCATTTGTCCAAGTCAATTCCATCAGGAAACACAAGTTGGGAGGGGGGATCTGAAGAGAGGTGCTGTGTATGCATGGTGGCAGTGCCACTTTCAGTCACCTGTTCTGCTGTGGCAAGATAGTGACCTGGATCTTCCCACCCCCCAGTCAGACCTGCTTTTGCTCTTGGCCCATTGAATAAATAAAGCCAGATGTTTCCACCAGTCTTCTTGTGGGCTGTGGAGAGGCTTTGCACGATCTGCTTTGGTCTTAGCTGCCTGCAGAATCCCCTCTCTGAACAACTGGCTGATTCAGAGCTGCTTGGGGCACATCAGATTTTCTGTGCTTTTGCAAGCCACTCTCTGGCTAACTGTGTAGAGTGCTTAGTCTGCCTCTCTGGCTAACTGTGTAGAGTGCTTAGTCTGCCTGTTAGCTTTTCCATCACCACAATATTCATGTGCTTTCACCCTGCCCATAATCCGGAACTCTTTTTCCCTGTAGGCTCATTGCAATTATTTATACATAAACTGGTCACTCATCTGTTGTGTTGCAGCCACAAATTCATGTGCAAAAGCCAACCCTTTTAGATAGACATTATGTTTGAACTCATTTTTGCTTTTTTGAAACTGCATTTTCCTACCACAGTGCTTTTTCTCAAGTAAAAAAAAGCAAACCAACAATCCCAACCTTCAAAACGTTAAATTAATTTGCTCTTTCTCTTGCTGCAGTATCTTTTACTGAGCAAAGTCACCTTGGGCAAGTAATTAAAGCCTCACTTTCCTCACTAGAAAAATGGAAAAAATAATATTTTTCCATCTTTGATATCTTTAGGATGGAAAATGTTGCTACTTATTATTTATTACAATGTTTTACACTAAAATTTAATAACATAAAACTCAGAACCTGAAGGGAAAATGTAAAAACGAAGGTGAGGAGCATACAAAGTGCTGCTGTGGTTGTGTGTTTTGAAGATGCTGGAAATACTTCGTAGTCTGTTGGATAGTGTTTGTCAAATATTCAGGCAGAGCTGGCCGAGTTGCTTTTCCACCCTCAGGACAGGGCCAGAAAACAGATCAGATTTTACTCCAGACAGCCCTCTTGTTTTGCAGTTTTTCACATCCAAGGAATGTTTTGCTATTCCAGTTGGACATAGGGTTCATCTCACCTAACATTTAGAAGTGTTTGGAACTCAGGTTTTGCTTCAGGTCTGATGCTGATGTTTTGCTTGTAGCATTGCCTTGGTAGAACAGGCAGGATCCTTGTCCTCCTTGAACATCTGTCCCTTGTTCTGTGTGTGGTGACAAATGAGCACCTCCTCTGAGTGCATGCTAGCCATCAGTATATGCTCACAGGATGTTGAATGCACATAACTAAACCATGTTCTGCCATTTGGGAGACAAAAGCAATATGCTATGCACTCTATGCAGCATAAGCACAGTACCTGAGTGATGGCTGCAAGACTGAGAGGCTGCTGCTCCTTACCTCATATAAATTATCCTAAGGGATCCCTTCCTTCTCCTTTGACTTCATCAAGTTGGACAGGGCTTTAAGCAACTTGGTCTACTGGAGGGTGTCCCCTTCCCATAGCAGGGGGATGGAACTAGATGGTCTTTAAGATCCCTTCGAACCCAAACCATTCTGTGATGCTGTGATTCTGTAATCTGTCCCTTTTTGCCTTCTCTGCCACTCTTGTCAAATTCCCCTCCTCAACCCCTTCTGGTTCTACCTTTCCATCCCTATCATCCAAGCCTCCTCCTCACCCTGGAATCACGGCTTTAAACATCACTCGCCAGCATCACGTAACTTACTCTTCATGAGTGCCAGAGCCTTTCTGACATCCTGCGCCTGCAATGCGTGTCAGGCTGTTAAGTTCTCCAGGGCACAGCGTGCTACAATGTTTCATGCAGGGCTTGGGCTGTGGCTGCTTCTCAGGCAGTGCTGGAAAAACCCCCATGATTAAGAATAACAATGCAACTTCTTTAGTGCGCACACGAGTATCAAATAACCTGTATATTACTATAACAGGTTAAAATGGTACCTTTTTTTACAGCTGCACCAGACACGTCTCGTATTGATGCCCCTTGAAACGGTCTGTAAGGAAAGGCTGGACTGCAAAGGTCTCCAACCTAAGTGTCGCTCGGAAGACTTTTAGCTACAAATCTCAAAATGTCATTCCTAGCATTGCATCCACACAAATTTGCGTACTCCCAGTAAGTGCCTTTGTTGACTTCGAGAAAAAAAGAAAACAAAGCACGTTTATGAAATAATGGTAATCTGAGGAGAAAAAAGGTCACAAAGAAATAGACAAGAGAGTAGAAACTCCCTGGCATGGAGCACAGATGAGGACAGTGATTCCCACACATTCTTTTACTCTGCGTTTCCTTTCCACATCTCCACAGCACCCCCAGCACTGTGAGTCCTGAGCAGGGCTGACCTCACTGACATGTGAGCTCTGAGGAGAGCACAGCACATAGCAGTATGGCTGCAGGCTAATGCTTTTATTTTTGTAACCATGTATTCCTAGGAGTGTGGTAACAAGAGTTAGGGATCAAATCCATGCTTTTTGCATAACTGAACAGAGTATTCCTGCTAGGCTACCTGGCAAGAGATCAAACATCCTATACCAGGCCTTTAAAAAAAAAATAGAGAAATATGAAAAACAGCTATGGTCATAAGAGAAAAGCAACAAGTATTCTTAACCACTTAACCATGCTACTAACAGGCACAGATTACTTGTTTAATTTTAAAGTCAACACATACAAAACTCACAGAATCTGCAGCACTCTCAGACACCCTGCTATTTGCCATGCAGTCCCAGTTACCATTGCATATCCAACCCAAAAGCCAGCTATCTAAACCTTTTCCACCTTGCTTCAGACATGAACCTCATTGCTGGCCATTCTTCTATTGCTGTGATGAAGTTTGTTGGAGTTGTCACAAACTGACTAATCCCCCTTGGTCACATGAAGAGGACATTGAGGATCCAAGGATCCTTCATTCAGGGATGAATACAACTACTGGCTACTGTGTTATTAAGTCGTGACCATCATTCTTTTGGTTCTGACCACCTTAAATCATAGAACAGTTTGGGTTGGAAGGGACCTTAAAGGTCATCCAGTTCCAACCCCCTGCCATGGGCAGGGACACCTTCCACTAGACCAGGTTGCTCCAATCCCCATCCAATCTGGCCTTGAACACTGCCAGGGATGGGGCAGCCACAGCTTCTCTGGGCAAACTGTTCCAGTGCCTCACCACCCTCACAGTAATGAACTTCCTTACATCTAACCTAAACTTTCCCTGTTTAAGTATTAATTCATTACCCATTAAGCTCCTTTAGAGCAATGTGGGTGCTAAGTATTAGACCTTGTTTCCAGGTTGCTTTTTTTTTTTTTTTCCATTCTGAAATAAATAAATGTCAGCATTCTGATGAAAATCCACTCCATTCTCTGCATGGCTTTGGACATGCCTTTTTTTCCCTAATCTTCTGGACTTTTAATTACTAATAGAAAAACAAAAAAAAAAAAAGGAATTTTCAAGAATATTACTTCCTTTTTTTTTTTTTAAATAGCTCTTTTAAAAATTCGTATTTTTCAAATAACGTCTATTTAATCCAGGAACTCTTAATAGTATTTTATCTGTTTCCTACATTAGCTTCAGTATGTTTAAATGTACCTTTTACATTAAAGATTAGAGTGAAATATAACTGAAGAGAGAAAGATGTTCTATTAAAAGCCTACTGAAAATATTAATGTGTATTAAGAACCTACTGACAAATGCTTGCCTGAATAGTGACAGCAGGACACTCAATACATTTTAGGACAGACTGTTTCCAAACAGATTAATGAGGGTGAACGAAAAAAACAAACCACCCCCCCACACACACCCAACCAAAAATTGAAGTTTTCATGAAATAATTCATTTTTATTATTGTCATCATCAATTAGGACTCAGTCCTGCACCATTTAACTGTACTTTTGACACTGCCATCTACAAACATATTTCAGAAAATGATGCAATATTTGGTAAAGAAAAATGTGCACTGAAAAAATTCCTTTAATGAAAGCTTATTCCTGCAGAGTTAGTTTCAAGCTTGAAACAATTTTTCATTTTTTTAAATATAAAACCTAAATAACAGAAATCAATATTCCCCGAGACTTACCCCTGTGAGAAGAAGTCTATCATCTGAACTCTTTGCTGTTAATGGCAAGCTCCTCTTTTAGGATTTAAGGGGGTGTTCTAATGGCTGGGTTGTGTGGCTAATGGGTTATTTGATTCAGTTGTTGAACCAAAAAATGAAACCCTGCTTCTTTCCAAAGTCAACCTGAAATCACAGTTTTTATTGTATTTAAACTCCATAGTTTTAGGGTAAAAAATAAACTATTTGCTTGGTTGGGACCAAATTTAGTTCTGCCATTCTTTTTCCAGGTATATACAATAAACCCAAAGAACTGGATTCATAAAAGAGCTGAGGTATCACCTTCAGAGATGTTTTTCCAATTTCTACTCAACTGCAAATCTAGCAAAAACTTGAAATTCTTATGTGAAATATTTTCTTCCTGAATGAGCAGTGAAATACATGTTAAACATTTCCAGTGATGTTATTACTCTTGCATTTCAATCTTTCAAATGCTTTCTATTGCTGTTAAGTATTCACATGAAGTTATTTCATTTCAAAGCTTACCATATCAGGCTATTAGAATGCTTCTGTGCTGCAGGCCAAATTTCCTGGTGGTCCTTAAAATTATGCCATATTAACAACCTTGTAATAACTGTATACCAAGGTGCCATGTTAATTTCACAAGATTTTTCTCTAGAAACATGAATTTATTTTGCATCTGTATTGCAACATCAGGTCCCTACTTATTTCTGTTTCTAAGACCTACAGATATAATCTTTATTTTCATCTACAAAGCAGTAGGATATATCTCCCACTTCAGCTTTTAATTCCCCCCTCCATTTTAGAGAGATGCGAACAGGCAAAAATAATACCACGTGCAACACAACATCCATTTTAACAGTATCTTTGTCATTGTTTGACAATGAAACTACTGCATTCATTTAATAAATATTTCTAATAGTACTTCTATGTGCTAGCTAAACTGCATTGCTCAGTCTTTTAAAAATGGTAAAGTTAAGCATCAATAAATAACTACTCCAGGTTTTCTTTTTTCCCCCCTGTTCTTGGGAGAAGACAAAGGGCTTAGGAAAAAAACATCCTCAAGACTTACAAGTCTGGGGAGTTTCATATAAACTGGAGAGCATGGAAGGGGAATGCACCTTATGATCCAATGGTAAAGCCTCTTTCCTGAGAAACAGGTTACATTTGTGCACCCCTGTGGCATGTGGCATCATTCAGTCATGGTCTATGTGAGCATCCTGACCCCAGGAGCTGTTGAACAGGATGGCAGCTGGATGATGGTGTAGGACTTCCCTCTGTCCCTGCTACCTTATGACCACATACAGGACATCCAAAAAATTGGTTTAAAAATACATGAAAAAGAAGCATTTTGGCACTCCTATGAAGTTGTCCTCATTGTTTTAGATGTCCGAAATACTCAGCGAGTACATCTCAAATTCACAAATAATTTTGCATTGACTGAATATTTATATTAGAAAATAAACAGTTTATGACCAACAATTCACTACATCAATTTCAACATGGCCACAGGTGAGCACATCCACTAACATAAGCCAGGAACCAAGAATTTTGATCAGGAAGACAGGACCACAGCCAAGCTCCTAACCTCTCAGCTCAGGCTGAGCTTCAATAACAATGAAAGACATGTTCTCAGATCTATATGAATCATCAATATGTCCTTGAATTTCCCATTGAATGCAGGGTATCAGGGTTGAGCCCAGAAATCCTCTAAGTTTGTTTGAGGGAGCCTCTCTATCTATTTTTGTCTAAGTGTTTTGCTGCTGGGCAAAGGTGCTGAGCTGGATTGCTAAAAACAAGCTGCATCTCCTCTGAAGGGTGAGACAGCACAGATCTCCTCTGTCTGCAAAGCCTTGGAGTACTCCTGCCTTTACAGAGGGCAGCTGTGGATATGCCTGTGTAAGGTGCAGGGGACTTACAGACTTGACCTTTCTTTCCAGCATGCAGGGAAGTAGCCTAAGCACAGAGATGGCCAGGGCAGGTTAAGTCAAACAGCATTAGGAGCAAGAAGCTAGCTTGTAAGGAAAAAGAGTCAAAAGAACTCCGGACCATCACAAAACAACTGCTGTGGGTGGGAAGGAATATCTGAAAGAATCCAAATACATCAACATAAAGGAAGAGGAGGATTTTTTTTTTTTTGGGGGGGGGGGGGGGGGGGGAACTCAAAATGCATAAGTACAACTTATCAGAAAACAAATGAAAATACAAACCAGCTACAGGAATATTCCTTAAAATTCAAACTGGCCTGGCATTGATGGCACTAGCTTCAGTGGGGAGTAGGGCAGCACTTACCTCTTATTATGCTTACTCGAATTTACAGTTATTGAGAGCTCCTGGTTTTATTTTGGGCCTATAGTCACGCACATGGTGGCACAATACTCCACTATGTCTCTGTTACTATAAAGTACTTCATATTCTCCAGAGGGACCCTGACATGCTTGTGAGATGGGCTGATGCCAACATTATGAAGTTTAACCATGCCAAGTGCAAGGTCCTACACCTGGGTCAGAGCAACCCCAGGCACAGCTACAGGTTGGGCAGAGAAGAGATTCAGAGCAGCCCTGCGGAGAAGGACTTGGGGGTGCTGGTCGATGAGAAAATGAACATGAGGCAGCTTCAGTGTGCGCTCGCAGCCCAGAAAGCCAACTGTATCCTAGGCTGCATCAAAAGGAGCATGACCAGCAGGTCGAAGGAGCTGATCCTGCCCCTCTACTCTGCTCTCGTGAGACCTCACTTGGAGTACTGTGTGCAGTTCTGGTGTCCTCAACATAAAAAGGACATGGAACTGTTGGAACAAGTCCAGAGAAGGGCCACGAGGATGATCAGGGGACTGGAGCACCTCCCGTATGAAGATAGGCTGAGGAAGTTGGGGCTGTTCAGCCTGGAGAAGAGAAGGCTGCGTGGAGACCTCATAGCAGCCTTCCAGTATCTGAAGGGGGGTTATAAGGATGCCAGAGAGGGACTCTACATCAGGGACTGTAGTGACAGGACAAGGGGTAACAGGTTAAAACTTAAACAGAGGAAGTTTAGTTTGGATATAAGAAGAAGTTCTTTACTATGGGGGTGGTGAGGCACTGGAATGGGTTGCCAAGGGAAGTTGTGAATGCTCCATCCCTGGCGGTGTTGAAGGCCAGGTTGGACAGAGCCTTGGGTGGCATGGTTTAGTGTGAGGTGTCCCTGCCCCTGGCAGGGCGGTTGGAAATAGATGATCTTAAGGTCCTTTCCAACCATAACTATTCTATGATTCTATGATTCACCACTGCCCCAGGACCACTAGAAAAGCAATGTAGGTGTTACACAGAAGGGAAAGGAACACAAAAAAGCAATGCCAAAATCAATATTGCTTCAGTCACATTTCAGTATTTTACATGCCTGTTTTGTTCAGTTTGGTATAATACTGTTTATGTCCTGAAAACTATGCTGTGAAACATAATGTACGTTTTGAAGTATTCCCACTGCTGCTACAGCCTCAGCCACTCTGTTTCCAGTAGCTAAGGACTATATATCCATCACCTGCATGATGTACTAGTGCCAGGTTTGCATTAAGAAACAACTGGTTTTATTTAGCTTTTCCTGAAAATTAACTTTGGTTCACTTTTTAACTGACAGACTTCATTCTGCAACCACCAGAGTGGAAGAATAAATACTGTTATATTCTTCTATATTTTCATAATGTCAGAACTCACACCATATCAGCATCATCTGTATCTGAAAGAATGGCAAAAGGAGGTAAATGGAAACTGCAGACTGATGCTCCGACCAGACAGATTTTTGTGCTTGGCTTGAACCCACTGATTTCAAAATGAGGCCTCATGCACCTGCTTGCCTGGAGCAGCTTATAGGATTAGGGTCAGAATTGCAGCTACCGGGGAAGCCTCTCCCTCAACTCTGCCTATAGTTTTTTTCTTGTTATCGTCATGCTTATATCATCTTTAGTAGTTCTAATGCAGACTGATCCCTCTAAACTATGTCAGAATAGTAGAAGAGAAAAAAAAAAACCCACTTGTCTACTCTCTCCTTCTTTGTACTCTCTTTATTTTTAAATTTGTTAGGTATGATGACCTCTGTGAGAGTGCCAGATTCATTCTGGCAGGCTTGGCTGCTAATTCCTATCTACTAGGACTGAAGGACATGATTTGAATTTGGGATGTCTATTAATAATCTGTTTCTTATCTTAATAAATATTTGTGATTTGTTTATCTGACACTGATGACATGTTTATTGTAAAAAAAATGCTTATTGGTCATGATTCACATTGGTCTCTATTATTTTGGACTGTTTTCATTTTTCCGTAGGCAGCTCATGCTGTTTTATATATTCTGTCACAGTTGGTTGTGTTTTGCCTTTTTGTGCTGATCTCTGTAAAAAACACAGCACAGAAGAAATTAAAACCCACTATTTCCAAAATCATCACTCTACCACGTACATTCAGCAGTAATTTAAATGTGTATGAAACCGAGCACCAACCTGAACAGATGGGATACTTTTAAACAAATCATAGCTTAAGACAGCAGGAAATAACTCTGTCTCCTTTAGGATCCAGACCTGAAATGAAGACAGAGTCAATTGAAAGACTGGCCTTGTCTTTTGACCATGTCCCAGGTACCTACATGCTCCTGCACCATGTCATCTTTGGAGAGAAGATTCTGTTCGCTCAAGGGGCCTTGACCCAGTACCTGACCATGTAATGTGATGCTGTCCTTGTTCCTAGTAGTGCTTGGGAAGAGTGTTAGGTAAGGACAGCTGAAGCAAAGATCTGCTCCCTGCCACAGGATGATGCTGAAAATCCAGACAGGATCAAGGTGAGACCAGACAAACTGATTGAAGGGAAAACTACTGAGGGATTTTTTTTTAATGCAAGGGTATCACCTCTGGCTCAGGAAGTCTGGCTGGAAGTGTATTTTGGGAAAGTATCACTTTGTGCTGCTCCCAGTGTAATTCTCTTTTCTAGGCATCTGATTTTTGTTATTTATATGCTATTGAAGTCTTACACAGTGGATTTCAACCTGACTTTCAAGTTTTGAGTCTCCCTTTTGACCATATTCAGTATGTCTGTAACAAATATCCAGACAGTCTTGTTTATTGGGAAGTGCTTCAGATGCCTCCTCCCTCACACCTTTGTGCCTCCTGCACTTTTACTTCTCTTCCACAACTTCCACATCATTCTTGCCTGCAGACCAAATATCAGTCTTCCCCCTGCCTCAGTTCTGCCCACTCCAGTGACTAAGAACCAATGTATGCATCTTCAGTCCCCTGCCCCGTTAGTTCTCACCCATCTCCCCGTGTCATGCTTCCAAATTCACTTTGGTTCTTTGCCATGTCTCTCTCCCACTTTCCAAGGTGAGCGCTGCAGAGACTGCTGCAGAGGGAAGGAGTAACTGAACTGTCATCTCTGCATGGGATGGAAAGAAAGTGGAGTGCTGCCGTGAGCTTTGGGGATTATTTTTTATTTTCATTTTCTCTATCTTTTAAAACTGAGTGTTGTTTGAGAAGGTACTTCTGCTCACTATCTGGGAAGGTCTCCTAGGAGGCTTTTACTTGGGCCAATGAAGTAGCCAGAAAATCAGTGGAGAATTCCTCTCTGGCCAAGTTAAATATTGTAAAATTTCAGGTGCTTGTCTTGTCACTAGATTGGCTTCAACTTTTACCAAAATCCCAAGAGTTGTGAAGAAATTCACATGACAGAATGGCTTGCACCCAGAGCTTAACCTTAAGTTAAGCTAATGCATGCAACACAAAAACTAGATCTGTGATCTGCCACCATTCGACCTATCTCCTGCTCTTTATATCTGGGCTTCCAAAAAGTGTGATCTCTTCTGTTCTTTGCAAGAGGCTGTGCACACAGGGGCTCCTGCATATGGCATCAACTGCAGCAGTGTGGATGGTGGTAGCTGCCTGAAGCGATTCTGCCGTGTCCGTCAAAGAAGAGTCTGGAACAAGTTCTGTTGGTTTTGAGTCACAGGATCCTTCTGGTCTCTTTGCTCCTTGAAATTCTTTCAGACACCAAAATAGAACCTATCACAAGTCAGCATGTCTGAGTACAAGGGATCCTGTCCGTAAGCAGATCTGAAGGCAAAGGTTAACCTGAGCAGAAGCCTGACACCCAAAATAATGAGCAACAAGAGGAACACATCTGAGCAGCAACCTCTTCACCAAATATTTGACCTGCCTGTAGCTGGACCATAGCGTGTACCAGCAAGTCTGAAGGATTACCCCAAAAACAAGAAAAAAAAAAAAGACTCAAGTTATAATAAAACTGCATAATTTAAAGAGTTCATTCTGTTTAGCTTGCTAAAAATAATAGCATCGGGTGAGCTGATCAGTCTTCTCCAAGGAGAGAAGGGCTTTAGGACTAAAGAGCTCTTTAGTGGAGAAGAGCATACTCACTTCTGGGAAGTAAAAAGGATAAATTCAAATCAGAAAAATATTCCAGCTTGTCAACAATGTCAGATTAAGTATAGTGACACAATAGCAAGGAACAAGACAAATTCTCTACCTTTTACTGTCTTCACAGTAGTACCAGAGGTATTTCTGGAGATAGATTTTTATTAAACTCATGTTGCAAGCTGCATGAGATTATAGGGTACGCAGCACATCAGGCCAGATGCTTTATTGATTTGTCCTGGCCTTAATTTCCCTGAGAAGTCAGCATCTGCTCACCCCTTTTGCGTAACAGGAGCACAGACTAGACAAGCTATGCTTTCAAGGTGAAACAGGACGCCACTGAGGACCTGTAATCAGAAAGTGCTTGCTCTGTTTCAGATGGGCATTGAGTAAAGGCAAGAGGAGGCCTCTGGTATCTTCATCCTCAGTCCTGCTCCTCAAAGCCAGACTCTGTGCTCTACAGTCATACCGTCTTTAAACAGAAATCTGCAGCAAGGTGAACATTCTCTCATATTGGGGCTGCTGAACTGTTAGCTCATACTACTATCACAAAATCAGAAGCAAAGAGAAAGTATCTCATTTGATAAATCAAACAAAGAGCTGAGATGTGACAAATACTTCAGTTTCTTTCAATTTTTATTATTTTTCCCCTGGAATGCAGCTGACAAATATTTTAAACAGCTGCCCATCAGAATGGTATATTGTAGCCTTAGCAGAAATGTGTATTGTTCATGCATGCTTTTTGCTTTCTTGACAGCATTTCATTTCTGTCATTGCAGGAAAACCTTCTAGCTGGAGTTTAGACTTAACATTATTCCATTTCTTTTTTTTTTTTTTTTCTGTGTATCTTATGCAAGGTCAGATCACACAAACTTGTCCTGTCTGAAAATCTCAATGTAATTCAGTGGGACTAGTCAGGTAACCTTTGGAGAACTGAGCTCATATTCCTTTTTTTCATTTTACTGCAGTATTTACAAAGACTGAACAACTGTCAGTTCAAATAAAAACCCGACTGACTCTGAAGAAAATGTCCCTGTGCAGCATTTGCTCTCTAGAAATAATCAATTAAGTGGTCAAAGCTTATTTTCTTTCATGAAAAAGACAGGAGATAATATAACATTTAGCGACATTAAAAGGGAAAGTGCATTCTAAAGAGCACCTTGATTCCTTTTAATTTGCAGTAAATAATGCAAGGCTGCAATAGCACAGTTCAGACAGTCAAGATTTGAAAATGTGTCAAAACTACACATCAGCTAAGGCTACAATACTGAGCTTGTTCCTTATTTCCTGATGAGCAGCTGATTTAAAACAGTTATACATCATCTTAGCTGTAGTCAGCTAAGAGAGGAAAAAAACCCCAACCAAACATTGAAACTGCATCTCAGTTCTTTATGTTTGATTCACAGAACAAGGTATTTTCTTTTTGCTTTTGCTTTTGTGATATCAGTATAAATTAACAATTCAACAGCCCCAATACAAGAGAAAGCATTCACTTTCGTTTAGACCATACCACCTTGCTTTTAACTGCTGGACAGATGCAAAAGATGCCAGAGGACTCCTCTTGCCTTTACTCGATGCTCATCTGAAGCAGAGCTCCTGCCTTTACTCAATGCTCATCTGAAGCACCAGAAGCACTGCTGTTGAATCCAATGCTTTCTGATTACAGGCCCTCAGTAGCACACCGTGAGATTGTGGGCAATAAACTTTGATTGGTTTTAGCCTCATTTTATCCATCAGTTTTACAGGTGTAAGCAGACGGTGACTTGGCTTAGACTCAAGATGGTGAAACATCTCTCATTGTCTGAATATTTTGGATGAGGCCTTAAGTGAAAGAAGCCCAAGTGAAAGAAGCATTCAGGAGATGCAGATTCCCCCCCCCCCCCATGAATTATGCATGAGTACATTGTGATTGTCTTGATTCTATCCTCTGTTTTGAGATTTTTCATCTAATTCCTGCAGATTTTTTTTTTTGTCTGTAGGCTGTTTGCAAGCAGGTCTAAGAGTCTCTACTCAAGCAGTTGCTAACCTCAGGTGGGTCTGGAAATGCCCTGGCTTCCCCCTGAAACCAGAATAGAAGGTGGCAACACAAGACCATGATAGTTGCATCTCTTCCTCCCATCTTTAATTCTCTCTTCTTTACATGATTCATGTAGCTTCATTGTGTGTACTTCTTGAACTGAATGAGAATTGATTTGGTTAGAAACAAACACTGGCTGTGGGGATTTCACTCAAGATTCTGCCATAGTTTTGAGAGAGCCAGGAAAAAGGGGAGAAAAAATTAGGTTAATTAAGGTGGGTTGGCCAACATTAAATCTGCTTTTCCTTGAGTACTAAGGCCCTGACCTTGAACACATAATCTTTGTTGTATTCAGGTGCACTTATAGACAATTCTCCTTCTCCTAAAAGAAACAGAAATACATATCTTACAGAAGTATAAAATACCTTACTGTAAATTCATAAGCTTATGATAAAAAGACCATAAAGCCACAGCTGGGAACCTAAGCTATATGCCCTGCATCTCCAAATGGTAGCACTTTGGATACTGAATTACAAGGGGAAAGTTGTTACCTTGCAAGGCCTGGGTGTGGAAGATGGAGGAAAACAGAATGAAATGCAAGAAATGGGGAGAAGACTGCCTGGGTTTGCTGCAAGTTTACTTACTCCCCCCCCCCCCCCCCCCCCCCCCCCCCGAAGGACATAGAGTGTGACTGAGAGGAGGGAAATGCCTTGAACAGAATTTCAAATGGAAAAGCACAGGAAAGTCTCTACCTGTCAAAAGGCTTGAGTGATTTGTTTGCAGCAAGTTTCAGTGAGCTGCTGCAAATTAAAGGGGGATTAGGACCTCTCAGATGTTGCAAGAACACACTGCAGTGAAAATTTGTCTTCAGATGAAACAACTGAAGATGTTACTACCTTCTCTTTCATGTATGCTTCTTGGTATACCCTTATTTATGGATTCACTCTACTCTGACTGAATTAAATAGCTAAACAAATATAAAATCAGATCATGTAGTATTAGACCTTTCCATTAAATCCTGGGGCTTGATTCATTTGCATTTTATTTTGTGTTTATAATGCATGCTTATTTTAATTACTACTGCTGCACTTTATTTGTAATTGTCTGTGCAATGCCCAAGCACCTTGCTAAGTGGATAAGGGAAGCACTTTATTCCATAACAACATAATTAGTCCATTATTATTCATTATTACCTTTTTTCTGGAATGGACTGAAAAGAATCACGACTTAGAAAAATACAATACCAACAAATTATCTGTGGCAAAAATAATCTTCACCATTGTTTCCCTCTAGATATCATCTCTCCTGAAGAGAGAAGCAGCAGCATTTAGTGACCTGAAAATCAGGTTAAATGCTAAAGTTGCTTGCAATCAAGGATCTGTCCCTGGTCCAGGCCTCCTGCATGGCCTTGGGCAAGTCATTCAACCACTCTATGTCCTTATTTCCCTTTCCACAGCTACAATCCTACCATTCACTTTCTATGGAACAGTAACGCTTACTACACTAATGTGCAGAGCTTTGCAAGTGATGTATGTTAGGTATTGTGGCGGCATGATCAAAGGCACACAGTGATGGCTGGGTAAAAGAGGAGGAATTTCAGAGCTATGCAGGATTCTTGCTTACCAAGAGAAAGAACACATTCAGTTTCTTCTGATAACCTTGCAATTCCTCCTGAATGAATACCCCATCTTCACTGAATTTTCTTATTACAGAGGATTATGCAACTCTTATCTCTTGAAGTTTTGTAAAAACATCCCCACACAGTCTTTCATGTCTGGCACAAAAGCATTCTGCTGCATTTTCCTTTGGCATATGCCCTCTGTAGAAACCTTAAAGGTTAAGTATGGTCTTACCATTTTCGACCACCAGTTACTACACCCATAGAGAAAACAGGTTTCTTTCTGATTCTCCTAACATGCTTGTTTTTAGCTTACCAATCCATGCCTGTAGGCGTCTGTGTAATTTATGACAAAGATTTATTAGTAGAAACTAGGCTAATGAGGCTGGACAAGCAAATTAAAGGTGCACAAACAGTGAATGAATACATCGGGACCACTTCGCACAGTAAAAGTCACATCTTCCAATAGGCATTCAAGCACCATGACAGGAGACTTCCAAGCTGTTTTGCCCCACCCTCAGTCATCCAAACCAGGATGATTTCTCTTTTTAGTTAGTAACAACCCCTCGCTGTATACCTGGATAGGACAGTATGATGTCTATGACCCTTATTTCTTCATTGCTTTTATCAAGCTGAGCTGCAAAGGGACATGATGTCCAGTGCAAAGACAGAACTCTGTGCAGAGCTTGCCTTAAGAGTTACAACAGCCTCCACTGTTCTGCAAGATAAACAGTCTTTGCTTGAAGTCTCTCCTAACAAGGACAAGGTAGCTCTGTGTCTGTGTACGTGCATTTGTGAGCGTACCGACAGCCATCCCTGGTTGTTTCCCATCATGTACTGATGCCAAAAGCACATTACTTCCATTGGTGTCTCTGGACTCTGTTCCTATGAGGCAAGACTGAAGTGATGCTGTTCGGTAGTGTCTCTGAAAGGAGACAGCACACCAGCACGATTTCCCAAACGATCACTTTCACACTTCCTCAAATATAGCTCAGGTGTTTTCACCTCCCTTGTCTTTTTGTGCGTGCCTTTTTTCGCATTCCCCTATAACCACCTCTCACCTTGCAAAATAATACCAGTTCCTCCTCAGTCATTTCCCTGTCACAATGTTAATGACACACTAGGCAATGAGATGGAGGAAGGTCTCCACTAAAACTTTCCAATAAAATCAGAAGTGTGTGGGATATAAATGCTTTTAGTTGTTAGGAATTCACTCCAGGGTCTTTCCCCCCACCCCAGCACACAGGGGACATAAGGCAATGTTTCACAATCCTCCAAAGCCATCTCTAGGAACTTGTGAGAGAACTGTGAACAGCAGTTCTTTTTTAGGAGGAGTCTGTGAAGAACTTCTAATCCTGGTGATCCTGTTTGCATCAGTTTACATTCCCAGGGCTATCTGTGAACAGAAGAGCCTGGAAATACACCTTTCTGATCCTCTGAAATGGAGATTCTCCTTTACATTACTCGGTTCCTCACTTTAGGAAATCCTTGCTATGGTACGTGTTCTGCTTATCTGAAAAGGCAAAATAAGGGTAGTTCTACACTCAAAATCACTTACTTAAAACTTTTTTGTTTGCTTTTTGTTCTGTGACCTTGCACCTTTTGTACACTCAGTCAAATCCACTGAAATGCTTGCCTAAAACTAGGTCTGACTGCTTGTCACATATCCTGGATCTTCAGCACCCACAGTGATAGGAGAGGATACCTTTGTGGAAATCAGCAGAATTGTTTGTGGATGTACACAGGAGTTCCTGAAAGTTATTACCTTTAGCCAGGTTACTTATTGATAAATGCAATAGGAAACACACAGTTTCTCAGACCCAAGGCTCTTAAGGCTATGGATGAAGAAGAGTAAGGGAAGATGTTAAGAGATGAAGCAAAACTGTACAGAGTCTAACAGCAAAGGCCCTGCCTGTCACTTGTCTGGTGTTATTACATCCACAGCTTCACAACCCACAGCAAACCTCACACCAAGTCCTAGCTTTCTTCCCAAGAGCCTAAAGGACAACAGAGACTCAAAAGAACAACAGACTTCTAACATCCATTTTCCGTGGTAATTCCTCCTTCCCTTGGGTTCAGATTGGCCTTTTGCATGCTAACAAGGGAAGTGATAGAAACAGGACCGTTACCAACAGTGCAGTCAAACCCAGCCACAGTTATTCAACTCACTTTGCGAAAAGAAGATAAAAAGTCATCACCAGGTCACCCTGGAAAAGATCCGCAAAACCTAGTCCAGGGAGAAGAGAGAACAGAGGCTGCGAAGGGCCCGCAGAGGGGCACTACCCGCCCGCTCCCTCCCGAGGGGTCCGCTCACACCGTTGAGACCGGCGGTAGCACTCAGACACGGCCGGAGCGGCGCCCGCCCCCTCGGTGAGGGACAGAAGGGATGAGGCAGCGCTGCACCGCCACTCGAGTTTTACCTCAGAAACAAGGGCCCCAGCACTGGGATCGGGATCGGGACGGGGTCGGGGACCCGGACGGGGACCCTTTCGCTCCCTGCCCATGCCCCTCCCGCGCCTGCGCGGCCCGGCCGGGGAGCGGCGGAGCCTTTGCAGAGGGTCCCGCCCCTCTCCGCCTCCCACGGACTCGGCCGTGCGTGGCGCGCGGGGGCAGTCGATCCGAGCCGATCCGATCCGAGCCGAGCCGCCTCCTCCCCTCGGCTCCCCGCGAGCGGGAACGCGCGCGCGCGCCCCTGGCCATTGGTGGCGCGGCCGCGCGCGTGGGGCGGCTCGCCTGGTGTCGGCGCCTCCCCGCATCCCGCGCCGCTGTCGGCGGAGCCCGGCGGCCGGGCAGCGGGGCCCGGTCCCGGCAGCTGGGGCATGGAGAGCCTGCTGGAAAACCCGGTGCGCGCCGTGCTCTACCTGAAGGAGCTCACCGCCATCGTGCAGAACCAGCAGAGCCTCATCCACACCCAGCGCCAGCGCATCGACGAGCTGGAGCGGCGGCTGGACGAGCTCAGCACCGAGAACCGCAACCTCCGCGGGCAACAGCCGCACCACGCCGAGTCGCCGGCGGCCCCCGCCGAGCCGTCCCAGGGCTCCCCGGCAGAGCAGCCCCCGCCGCCGCCGGGCCAGCCTGACCCGCTCCAGCACCACCAACAGCTCCCGGCGCAGCAGCCGCCGCCGGCGGGCAAGCAGGCACCCGCGGGCCCCGGCGGCAGCGGGCGGGCTGCCGGGCACCAGCACCCCGCTGCCCAGCCCCACCAGCACCCCGCAGAGAAGGACGGCAGGGAGAAGGGCTGCTGCGCCGCTCTGCTCCAGCACAAGCCCCCCCAGGCCATCGGCAAAGGCGTCCTGAGCCGGAGACCGGAGTAAGTGAGGAGGGGGAAGCGGGCGGGCAGGGCTGGCGGCGGGGAGCAGCGGTGGAACGGGCCCCGTCCGGGCCCGGGTCCGAGAGGGGACCGGGCTGTACCCCCCTGCAGCCTTGCGGAGCGAGAGGCGGTGTGTGGGTGGGTGGGGAATCCCGCCCTCCACCCCTCCTTCCATCCCTCCTTCCATGCGTTCTCGGGGAGGGAGAGCAGGCAGAGTGCAAAGAGGAGCCAGGATGCTGCTTCCCGGAGGCGTTCGACCCGCGGTTCACCCCTTTCATTTCTACGTACAAGTGTCTATGGTTCATTTCAACCCAGCCGTGGTGCTCACAGGCAGCATCGTGCCCTCATTGTCTGTCATAAATAAACAAGTCTTGGATCAAAGGCGACAGCAGCATTGTGACAGCCTCTGTTTGCCCTAACTCGCAGCTATCTGTCAAAATACCCCATCCTCCCTGGAACAAGCTGGGGCTTTCCTGCTCTTACTGATGCGAGGGGTCTAGGGTATGCATTATATAGCACACAGTGTATATGTGTTCAGAGAGATACAGATGTTGTATGTATGTTTGGCATTTAGGATGCTTATCACACTTGTGTGTGGGTTGTCTGGGTTCTTTCTTTCTTCCTTTTATTTTCTTTTGGTGAGTGGCACCTCACACTGATCCAGCTCTTCAAAAGGACAAAGTATTTTTTTCCTGGTCTCTCCTTTTCAGTGAAGAAAGCATGCCTACTAGTACTGAATGCTGATAATGGTCTGTGTGCATGCATGTATAGTAAACAACGATGAGCGTTCCAGCACTATAGGTAGTGGAAGAGCCTACTATTGAGGTGTAACATTTTCTGGGATCATGTACCCAGTATATGCCACCAGCTCACCAGCTGGTAATTACAACTGCAGTCAGCCTTGTGATAATCCCCTTTGTTTAGGCACTTTGAAAGCAGGGGAATGTTTTCTGGTTGGACACCAGACTTTGTGAAGTTAGGAGGAGAAGGGGCTTAGTTTCTGATGTGGCTTCTTTTATGCAAGAAAGAAGCTAATATAAGTAGTAAAACTAGATTGGAATTCCTTCCCTGGAATGAACTCTGTTGTTTTGGTTATAGTAATGTCAAAACGAATGAAGACAACAGCACACTGTATAGCCCAACACATCTTCCTTGTCTCTTTTGACAATTTAAATAGAAGGGACCCTTTTCTCTCATGTTTGCTTTGAATCCACAAGCGCAGCTACAACATGGAGCTGGATTTTCAGCTGATGCAAGTACAGTTACACCACTTCATAGCAGCTAAGCTCTGTCACATGACTCTATGAAAATCAGTGGAGAAATTACTGTTGAAATAAATACTATTAAAGGAATATGTAATGTCAAGGCATGCTTGAATCCCCAAAGGCAGATCCATATTTCTAAAATACTGCACTGTATGACTCAGTTTCACAATCACAACTTGCAGGGACTGGGCTACTCAAAGTATTAATACAGGTAGTAAGGATTTGCAGGATCTGGCCCTTCTTCATCATGCAATAGATGGAGTTTTAAAAATACGTTGGACCAGATTCTGAACTCATGGTGATTGCTGTACACCCAGAACACCAGAGTTTAAGTCACTGAAGCCAAAACAGTAAGAAACCCACTTAAAAACACATAATCAACCTCTTGTTTTTTTTTCAGTAGTGAATCCCTGCAGTGAAGGCTCTGTTAGAAACATTGCATCAGCAAGGGCTTTCCTTTCTTCTGAACAGAGTTTCTAACAAACGTCATTACACAGACTGAAGGATCAATTTCTATGCATAAGTCTAAAACCCTCCTTCTTACCTGACCTTTTTCTTTTGCAGTGGGGTTTGACTGGGAAAGAACTGTAGTTTTTTTTCTTCATAGTGAAGTGCTCATTGCTGGTGCATCATGCAATAATCTTTATATTTTAAGTACATAGATAGATGGATGTGGATGGAACCTTTATGTGGAAAGTCAGGGCTGCTGCTGGGGATAACAGAGCAATCCCTGCAGCGTTCTTCACTCGGGAAGATTAAAATAGACTGCTTCTGTTTCCTTCTATAGCTTAGGCAAACCAAAAGCTTTGTATAGGAAAGGAATTATGACGGATGCAAAACAGTCTATGTTTCTCACTCCTGCAGGTCATTTACCCAACCCCTCTCCCCACTGACTGTATATACCGGGTTTCATCCTCTCTTATCTTTGACTGTTAGAAGGAAATGAAACCGACTGCAAAATCTAACTTAAAGGCAACTTGGATGGAGGGTGGGAATTGTGACCACCCATTGACAGCATGCCCAATATCCCTTATGATCCATCTTACCAACCTGAGAGTTGTATTTTTGCTTTTGTGCGACAGCAGGGGACATACACTTGAATACATACACAGACTAGGTATCTGCACTCTCCTCCTTCCACCCCACATCTGAGCATGCTTTTCCCTCTATTATAAACCCTGAAATTCAGTGTTATTTAATTTTCTTTTCTTTTAGCTAAGAGCATAGGAACTGACTCTTCACTACAGAAAATGGCCACTCTAAACAGAACAGAAAGGATATTTTAGCATGTCAGGATGCAGTGGCTGAAAGCAAGGGTTAAAGCAGCACCCAGGCAGTGCCCTGCTGTCAATGCCCAGTAATGGAATTTCCTCTGCCTCTCAGAAAACAGGAGGTTCTGGCAGCATGTTTAAGGGTACTTGTGCTCACCCTTCTCACCTCAGACACAGCCCAGAGATTTTGCTCATTTTGAGCTACGACTGAGGGTTTTTTTGAGCCCAGCTAAACCTCAAGCCCTGAATAGGAGCCCTGAATTTTGGACATGTGTGACTGTTCATGTCAACCAGGACAGTCTTCTGTAAGGGGCTCGGAAGAAAAAACAGCTGAAGCACCTTTTTAATTTTAAATAAAAGTTCAGTGTTATATTTATTGTCTGCTTTTTTTTAAAAAAAGGTTAAGTTTTCTTTTTCTAAAGCCCATATATACATATATATATATGTAAGAAAGCCTTCATTTTAAAAGGGAACAAACCCAAGCCTATCTCTAGAAAGGGAACAACTCCGGAGTTATGCAGAGGCCCCCTAATTGTTGCTGCGTGGTGTTGTGTGAGGAAGGTAGCACTGAGCTTACCTATGAAAAGAGAGGCAAGGAGGAAGATTTTTGCAGAGATCCTCAGCAAGAATTTGGCTGATTATTATTCCATGGCATCTGTCTCTTTCTACCTTAGGAGTCTATTGCATAAGCACCTCAGAGCTTTAAAAACAAAAAAATAAGGTCATTCGTCATGGAGTGTTTTGCTTCAAAAATACAGGTTGCCGAATTAGCATAGCTTAGATCACCCTTACTAGGCAGACTCTTGTCTTAAGGGACCATCCCAAAGTGTCATCAAATCCCGTGAGTATAAATTTTCCTTCCCTTCTTTATCAGAATACTGCCTTCTTTACCCATCCCCAGTTCCCTTTGTTGAGTATAAGGGAAATGCCACGGGGTTTAGCAGATTAAGTCTAAATGGCTCAAATCCTGCTGGTTTTTATCAGTAGAATTCTCACTGTGAGCTCTGCCTATGGAAGGACTTCAGATTTTGAGCATGTGGAAAATTCACTTTGATAAATACAATTAGAATAATAGCTAATAATCCATTATAGTTCCTTCCATCAAAAGACACGTGCCATTTACAAACATTCTGCATTGAGGTGGCATTGAAGTCTTCTTTTGACTGTCTTGCCAACAGTGAAAACAAGGCATAGAAACAGTATTTGTTTAGCATGACATGAAGCATCTAAGTACTGCCTTTAAACTATTAGCCACTGTTTGCTCTACAAGGTAATCTCCTCATGCAAAATAAGCTCTTAGAACTCTTGGAAGAAATGTTCTCAAATCACATTTTCCCAGAGGTCTTAAAGCTCATTTGGGTATGCATTGGGCTGAACACTATCTTCTTTTATTTTATCTTGGGTTAGTTTAGGGTGGTATTTTTTATCTGAGTAAAGAGGCAAGTTTAAAAGACAATGTTGAAGTCACTTAGTTGCTGTTGTGGTCTGAGGCTGTTTGCAGTATTTTTGTTTAATTTCAAAAGCTCAATTATGTAACTTTAAAATGAAGATATTATGCAGAGGTGCTGTTTTCCATATTTTTTCTTTTTAACTATGCATTAATGTTCTATTCTATGGATTATCTCCAGGGTAAAAGCGTAGACAAAATCCCACTGATTTCAATGGGTACTAACAATAACTATAAATATGATGGCTTTCTATTAACATATTTTGCTATATTTGCGCATTGCACCAGCACAAAAAAAAAAACCAAGCGGAAGATCAGAACAACTCTGAATGACTTGTGTACCCCAGATACCTGTTCCCTTCAATTTGGGTGCACAAGGAATGCTACGTTTGCCCACTCTTTTCATTCTTTCAGATTTCACCCAGCCTATTTAAGGGTTTAACTCCCTTGAGCTTTCACACACCAGAAATAGTTGCATTGGTGCTGCCCTGGGTTCTGCAAATCCCTGCTAGCAATGTACTGTTTCAGCATATCAAGTTATTTGGAGTCGAGTGCTGTAAGCTGGTTTCAAATGGCAGAGGTCTGCATTGGAATATCTACACAGATGCTAAAGCCCTGCTCAAATGATTTTGAAGTAAAGGGCATAATGAGAGGAGAGAAGAAAGCAGAGTGTTTGTGACTACGTCCCATCTAAAGATAAATCCATACCAGTTCCATTCACATTGTAGTCAGTCTACAACATACTTCCTGGCATGAACACACCTGCATCGTATCTACGTCAGGACCTGTAAAGGCAGAGGAATATGGAATTAAGGATTCACAACAATATTTAAGAAATAACAGATGAAGAGAAAGATGCAAAAGGTCTCAGCTTAGGAAGGATTCAGGTTGAAGCTCTAGGTATAAAATTGCTGAGTAAAGACAGCATGAGAAATTCCACCCACAGAGATAGCACCTCAATATAGAATCACAGAATCAACCAGGTTGGAAAAGACCTTTAAGATCCTCAAGTCCAGC